AAAAGTCTTGCAGATGCTTGCCAGTATGGTGGGTTTCATCTTTACAAAGTGGATAAGTAATAGTCGAACCGTGCTGGAAACGATTCCTATTGATGAACGAGCCAAAGAAGTAAAAGGTATTGATTTGGTTTCAGACGACTTACCACTTGAGAGAGCACTGGGAGTATATTGGTCAGCAGAGCATGACACCCTAGGATTCAAGACCATGATACAAGCTAAACCTTATAGCAGAAGAGGTATATTGTCCATTGTAAGCTCTGTTTATGACCCTCTTGGGCTTGCTGGACCCTTCATTCTACCAGCGAAGATATTACTACAAGACATGTGTTATCGCAACACTGGATGGGATGAAGATATAACACCTTCAGAAAGATTAAGATGGCAGCGATGGCTCTCAGATTTACATCAATTGCAGAACTTTTCTGTAGAGCAATGTCTTGAACCACCAGAGTTTGGTGAAGTGAAATTATATGAAATACACAACTTTTCTGATGCCAGCGAGAAAGGATATGGGGTAGCATCCTATTTACGTCTTACTAATGCAGAAGGGCAGACACATTGTTCCCTACTGATGGCGAAATCAAGAGTCTCCCCTTTGAAGAAAACTACAATTCCCCGGATGGAACTCACTGCAGCAACACTAGCTGTTCGTGTCAATCAGAAATTATAGCAAGAATTAGATTACCCAATTGACAGCACTTTCTTCTGGACAGATAGTCTGACAGTACTGAGGTACTGTGCCAATGAAACCACACGGTTTAAAACCTTTGTTGCAAACCGCATTACAATTATTCGAGAAGGTTCTGAATCAGCTTATTGGAGGTATGTTGATACCAACTCAAATCCTGCTGATGATGTGTCAAGGGGAATGACAATGGACAAACTTCTTCAAAATAAGAGATGGATTCATGACCCAGAGTTCTTATGGAAGTCAAAATCAGAATGGCCTAAGAATGCAGATATATCTAGAGGTATTCCAGATAATGATCCAGAAATCAAAGGCGACGTTAATGTTATGGCCACTGAAGAATCAACTACAGTGATAGATAGGCTCCTTTCACATACTTCTGAATGGAAGAAGTTGAAGAA